CAAAACAGGGACCCTACTGCTTGAGCCATGCCTCCAGTCAAGAAAATCATTACATAATAATAAAGGGATCAATTTATCAGGAGGACACAGTCTTAAATGTTTATGCACCTAATAACAGAGCTTCAACATAAAGAAAGCAAAAACTGATCAGAACCTCAGAGAAAAAATAGACAAATTTACCGTTATGGTCAGACATTTGAACACTCCTTGCCTAGTAATGGAGAACACGGATAGACAAAACACCAACTTAAACGACTTGAACATTGTCAGCCAGCTCGACCGAACTTATATTTATAGACACTCCACCAAACAAAAGCATTAAACACATTGTTTCCAAGTACACACACAGCATTCATCTGTATAGACTACATTAGAGGCCATAACTCAAGCCTCCAAAAATTTAAAGAGATTCAAGTCATATAAAGTATGTTCTCGGCCACAATAGGATTAAATTTAAAATCAGATTGTATGGTGGTTTCTCAAAGACTTAAAAATAGAACTATAATCCAGCATTTCTATTTCTGTGTATATTGTACACCCGAAAGAACTGAATGAAAGCAGGAACTTGAGCAGATGTCTGTATGTCCGTGTTCACGGCAGAATTATTCACAATAGCTACATGGTAGAAGTTTCACCACTGACAAATATCCACGTGTCTATTAATCAGTGGATGAATAGATAAATAAATAAATAAAATGAAGAATTACTGAGCCTTAAAAAGGAAGGAAATCCTGCCACATGATTGAACCTTGAGAATGTCTTGCCTGAATCACAAAAACACAAATACTGTGGGAGATTCCAGTCAATCGAGGTCCCTCAATTCATAAAGACAGGAAGTAGAATAGTGATTGCCAGGGGTTGGAGGGAGGGAGGAACAGCAATTAGTGCTTCAGCTTTGAAAGATGAAGAAAGTTCTGGTACTGGATGTTGCTGAAGCTGCACAAGGATGTAAGTGTGCTGATGCCACCAAGCCACATACTTGAAGGTGATTGAAGTGGTGTCATGGTACAGACATTTCACCACCAAAACTAATACCAACTTTTTCAAATGGCAAAATGCATGTGGTAAATTATAAAGAAAAGCAAAGGAGTGATTACCACAAAAAGCAAGGTAGCGGTTACCACTCACGAGAAGAGGGTGGAAGGTGGATCCTAGAAACTTCCAAAGTACTAAAAATGGTTGGTTTCATAACCTGGGAGTGGGTGGTTGACACAGGGTTATTTGGAGTGTGTGTATGTATGTTAAGTAAAACTATTTATGCATTCATTGATGTGCATTGTATATATTTTTTGTGGTACTGGGGCTTGAACTTAGGGCCTACACTTTGAGCCACTCCACCAGCCCTTTTTCGTGATGGGTGTTTTTGAGATAGGATCTCTCCAACTGTTTGCCCAGGGCTGGCTTTGAACTGCGATCCTCCTGGTCTGCCTCCTGAGTAGCTAGGATCACAGGCCTGTGCCACTGGCGCCCAGCTGCATTATACTTTTTCTACCAAGAATTTACATGTATTTTCATTATTTAAATGACATCAAGATAATGCAGCAGCAAGGATGGCATGTCCTTACTTTTACAAAGGCTTGACTTTCAGTGTCACACTCCACTTCTCTGAGTGAGTATGCCAGCGTGCTTTGTCCCTCGTTGGAGTAGTCACTTGCTTCATTCCCTTCATGGATGAGTCAAAGCGCTCAGCCTCCCTCTGCTAGCCAACACTTCCAGTTTGGTTCCCACAGAATTTGTGTTTATTTGGTAACAAATGTTGCTTAAAGTAAACCGGTTCTATTTGGGTTTGTGATTACAGTCGCTCATAGGCTTTACCTGTCATAAACTGCAAGGGATTTAAATTTAGCAATGGATTAACTCTACATGCTTAATTTTAGGAGTTTTAAAATCATAGATTGGACTCCCCTTTCTCCATACACTTGTGCACTTTGTATTTCCAAATGCTGACTAACAGTGTCATATCCACAACAGAATCCCTCTGCGTATTAATATGTCTGGACCTACCTCTACTGACATTCATTTACTCACCTGTGTCTACCATTAGGTGGTGAGCTCCCTGAAGTCAAAGGTCATGCTTTATTCCTTATCTTTTGTTTCTTCATTGCAAGCCTGCATTTATAATATGTGGGACAAGTAAAAACTATTGTACTTCAGGCAAAGGGAACACCATGAACCAAACAGCAGAGGCCTGAAGATGTGTTCAGTGAACGGGTATGAGGATTTTGAGATGGAGACCACCATGGGGCACAAGACTGGAAAGTTGGTGGATGACTCTTAAGTCTTGGCTGCCAGTTTTAGATGTTTGGACTCTATTTGTAGACAGTGAGAGACGGTGGGGAACAAGTGGGAGATGACATGTTGAGTGTGTATTTAGGAAGCTAACCTTCAGCATCTCTGTGTGAAATGAAATGGAGGGAGAGAAGGAACTAGAGAAACTGGAAAAATGCTGACTGGAGCAAAAGGAGGGCAGCAACTGTGTGGAATGTTTGTTGTTGTTGTTTCTGGAAGCCATTCATTTTAATGTCTGTGTTCTTGAAGATATTTTGAGAAAGATGTAATGGACATAAAACTTCAGAACTTTTGGAGTAGGACATCTTATTCCAAATATGCACAGAAAAGTGTTCTTTTTAGTACTACACACACACCACACACACACACACACCTCATCACACCACCACACCACACACACCATATACACACACCACACCACACACACACCTCACCACACACACAGATACCTCATCACACACACACCACACCACACACACCTCACCACACACACACTACACACACACCACACACACACCTCATCACACACACACCACACCACACACACACCACACACACACACACACACACACACCACCACACCATATACACACACCACACCACACACACACCACACCACACACCCACACACCATATACACACACCACACCACACACACACACCACACACACACACACCTCATCACACCACACACATATACACCACACACACACACACCATATACACACACCACACCACACACACACACCTCATCACACACACTACACCACACACACCTCACCACACCACACACCACACCACACACACACACCTCACCACACACATACAACTCACCACACACACACACTACACACACACACACACCTCATCACACCACACACACCACCACACCACACACACACACACACCATATACACACACCACACCACACACACACCTCACCACACACACACCACACACACACACTACACACACACACACACCTCATCACACCACACACACCACCACACCACACACCCACACACCATATACACACACTTCATCACACACCACACCTCACACACACCACACCAAGCACACACACACCTCACCACACACACACCTCAACACACACACACCACACACACACATACACCTCATCACACCACACCACACACATACCACACCACACACACACACACACACCTCATCACACCACACCACACACACACCACACCACACACACATACACCTCATCACACCACACACACACCACCACACCACACACCATACACACACACCACACCACACACATACCACATCACACACACCACACCAGACCACACACACATCTTACCACACACACCATACCACACAGTATTTAAGTACACTCTTGTTGGAAAATATCCTGCCCATAGTTTTTATAGTTATTACTGATGACAAATTTGATCATTCAAGACTAGTTTTCTTAAGTGCTGGCTTATACATTTCTTTGTTGCATTATAATTTCCATTTTTATGTTGAACATTCGTTTTCACACAACCTAACGTGGGGGGTTGTTGATGGTACTGGGGGTTGACCTCAGGGCCTCATGCTTACAGGCAGGTGCTCTACCACTTGAGCCATACCCCCAGCCCTTTTTGCTTTAGTTATTTCTTGAATAGGATCTCACATTTTTGCCCTGGCTGGCCTGGACTGTGATCCTCCTATTTAGGCTTCCTGCATAGCTGGGATGACAGGCACAGGCCACCTCATCCAGCTGTTGATTGAGATGGGATCTCACTAACTTTTTACCTATACTATCTGTAAACCACTAACAGCCTCCTGAGTAGCTGGGATTACAGATGTGAGTCACTATGCCTGGCTAGCACAAGTTTTAATGCTTACCCTCATTTGTGTGTGTGTGTGTGTGTGTGTGTGTGAGAGAGAGAGAGAGAGAGAGAGAGAGAGAGGGAGAGAGAGAAGCTGAATGGATATCCTTCAGCTGTGAAGTTGGAGGCCCTTGGTAAGGTTCCTGTTCCGGTCTATGGTTTCACTTACTGAGGACTTGTTTTATAGTCAGTATCTAAAATGCAAACATGCCATTGAAAACTTAAGAAACAATTGAGGGAAATTTGATTGCTGATGTTTGACAATACTAAGGAGTTTTTGGTAACTTTTTTTAGTTATGACAAAGGTATGGTTATTTTTTTTTTAAGATCCCTTATCCTTTGGGGATAAACACTAAAGCATTTACCAATGAAATGAAATAGTGATTGGGATTTGCCTTAAAAAAAACCAAGAGCTGGGAGTGTGTGAGGCCATGAGTTGAATATTGTTGAAGCTCTTCGTTAGTTCATACAGTTCCTTATACCAATCTCTCTACATTTGGATGTTTGAATTTTTCCATGACAAATACTTTTAGAAAACGAAAGAAACAAGACTTAGGAAACTAATTCAGCTCCTTACTTGATAGATCTTTGATTAATGGTTAAAAATTCAAGCCAGGTGTGGTGGTGCAAGCCTATAATCCCAGGTATTTGGGAGGTGGCGATTGGGACAACCACCATTCAAGGACAGCCTGGGCAAAAAGTTAGTGAGAGCCACCATCTCAACCAACAAGCCAGGAGTAGTGGCATGCATCTGCAATCCCAACTACTCTGGAGGCTGCAAATAGAAATTTCACACTCTGAGGCTAGCCCTGGGCAAAATCATGAGATCTAATATGAAAAATAATTAAAGCAAAAAGAGGTGGTAGCATGGCTAAAGTGGTAGAGTGCCTGCTTAGCAAGCATGAGGCCCTAGGTTCAAACCCTAGTGTTGCCAATAATAATACTAATAATACTTTAAAAATATAGTCATTCATTAATTTCAGCCATCTATGTGTTGTTTATTTATGCAGCCATGTACCTGCCCATAGGCTTTGACTTATTTTTTAAAGTTAAAGTGGTATTTTTGAGACAGTGTCTCAGTACATACCCCAGGCTGGCCTCAAACTCAAATTCCTCCTGCCTCAGGCTCCCAGGTGCTGAGATTACATACGTGCACCACCTTAAATGACCTTTTTGAGTTCTTAATGAGTTTTTTAGGTGAAGGAATTGAGGAAAGGCTTAAAAATAAGACATGGGTGAGATATACAAAATGTATATAAGTTTCTCTGCATTTAGCAAAAACTAACTTCCTTCCAGCACTCATAAAATAAAGAAAGTGATCAATTTGGTGGTTTATGATTTTATGAATCATCAACTTGATCATTTGTTAAAGAATTTGTAAATAGCTATATCTTAAGATCTGTTGGCAAGGTATGGGAACATAGGGGAGAAGAAAGCTAATATTTTTAGAACACTACCACGTGTTGGGTATTAAGCTAGTGCTCACATACCTTGTCTTTAGCCTTGACAGTCCTTATTCTTCTAATAACGATTTTTCTTGCGTTTGCTGTATAATGTGCCTTTTAAAAATTGCCCCCAAATTTTGGGCACATGCACATCCCTTATGTGCTTGCTGTATTTAATCACATGCATGCACACGTGTGCTCACACACACCACACGCACACGTTTCTAACATTAGCACCACACCAAACAATACATGCTTGTTGGTGATTGGCTTACGATGAGTATCATGAGTTTTTTTCTATACAGAGTTAGTCAACTTGTGCTTATTGTATCTCAGTCTGTCCTGACCCCAATAATCTTCCTGCCCCCAGATGCTCTTGCTGTGGGGTGCTTTGCCTCAGAGAGAGGCAACAAGACCCATCTAGTCTCTGAGGCAGAAACCTAGGTGTTCACAGTTGCGTTTCTGACACCTCCCTCCCCCTACTTGTCTTCCCAAGACCGTGGTCTCCCTCAGAGAACTTCCACCCATCTGCCAAACTGCCTCTAATTGGACACAGTCATCTTCAGGCTGTCACAGTTGTTGCTTCTGTCCCCAAGCTTGTCACTCTTCATATCATTCCTCTGTTTAAAATCTTCCATAGATGTAGCCTGCAAGTTCTCTGGATTTTGACTCACAATCAGAATTAAATTTGCTGGGCACTGGTGGTTCATGCCTGTAATCCTGTACCAGTTTCAAAGTCACTTCCTCCAGGAAATGTTACCCTGGTAGTGTTTATATAAGGTGTTGGTCATGTGTAGTCACTATGCTAACCCCTTCTGGTGGATTAGCTCATTTAAGTGCCAATCGCTAGAATAGGGAGGTGCCCAGTGTTTGCTGAATGAGTGAGTTTCACCTTGTGCCACTGCAGATGGTGTTTAGGACTGGAATGGTATATATTTAATATTCCCACTATGCTACAATTTCTCCGGTACTTAGAAGCCACATCTTAGGATGGCTGCAGTTGTGAGCCTTTGTCATCATGAGTCTCCTGGACCTCTAGCCAGAAGGTTATCCAATGGGTATCCGTGACAGATGTAACCATTTCTTCAGACTCGAAAATACCATCTATACTCAGTCATCGGAGGGCCCGTAGTCAGACAGCACAATAAGATGCTACCATTTATATTTATGTTCTTAATTTATTTTCAACCATAGCTGTTTTTAAGGCCTTCTTTAATATCTCTTTTCCTGTTATTAGAAACAAACTGAATCAGATCATAAATGTTACAGAGCCATGATCAAAGAAGCTTACATTTTTAATCTAAATAAAGGTCACAATACTATGTCACAGGACATTTGCCATTGTGCAAAGCCAGAAAGTAAATTGGTTGAAAATTCATTAATCTATTTTGTTCTATAACAAGTGAGTTTAAGCTGTATGGCTTCTAGGAAACAGAAGGGACACGGGTAAGTACAGTTTTGCTTTCAGGTGACTATTTTATTTGCAAATAGAAATGGCCCACAGTAGGTAAATAGTCCTTGGAAGGGCATTGTAAGGTAAAAATAGCCCAAATGTATTCAAGGTGAGTTGTTCCGTAATAGCACCAAATTCACCTCAGATATATATCCTCAGACCAGAAGGGCTTAATAAATTCTGTTTTGGATGGTCTGAGATCATTCAGTGCTATTCTGGAATAAAAAAAAAAGAGCCCATACATCCTCCATTGGTAATTATAAACATAATTTAAGAGTATGAGTATTTTTAATGATACTGTTAACATATGAGCTCCTAATCTGATGTTAGGAAATTTTAAAAATCAATAATCACTCAGGAATATATAATTTGTTACCCCTCCTCTTTAGAATGTCTGAACATCACAGAGAATTAAAATTTTAGTGTTGCCATGTAACTTAATTTCACATAATCCCTTTTTAGTTGTTTATAATTTTGTGAATCAACAATAAAATGAAAGCCAGAAGGTTGGAATTAAAATTATGGGGGGGTTAGTAGTTAGGGAAACTGAATTTGAATCCATATTCTCTGAGTATCTTTGTGGTCGAAAAGTGTATCATTTAACCTCTTTGGGTATCTGATGTCTGCTATACAAAATGGTGGGTTAAAATCATCACATGGTTATTTTCAAAAGGATCTTCCATAATACTAAATTAGTATTAAGTGAGATGTTTATCATGTACCAATGGGAAGGTCCTTTGTCAAACTTAATAGATGACCTTGATTAACTTTTCTAGATTTCTTTTATATAAGAGAAGTAGAATTGCTGTGGTTTTCAAGACATCTTAAACATGGAAGAAAATACGAATTACCAAGATAGCATCCATTGAATCAGCACTATCCATGGCTCTGTGGAGTCACTGGATTTAAAGATCCACTTACTGAACTCCTGATTTGCAGTAAGAGTAGAAAACTTATTTATATGTTCCGTGTCTCAGCTGCTAAGCCTCAGAAGCAATTGAATTTCTGTTCGTGAGTTTCGTCCTGATCTATAGGAACTAGGAAGTTTGAAACCAGGTGGTATCAGAGAACCAGTCAGGTCAAATCTAATTAAATCCTGTCAACCAAGAGGCTGGTCCATTAAAAATAAACAAAGCTTCTAAACTGAAATGCACTGTAATGCAGAAACTGTAGTAGTGTGTGCTTGCTGTGTTTTCACCATTCTGTCTTCCAACAATTTACTGTGCTTGTTTTTGTACTTTGCATAAGTGGAATCTTGCTAAAAATACTGTTTTATGTGTGGTTTTTTTTGTTTTTTGTTTTTTGTTTTTCTGGTACTAGAGTTTGAACTCAGAGCCTATACCTTGAGCCGCTCCACCAGCCCTTTTTTTGTGATGGGTTTTTCCGAGAAAGGGTCTCGAGAACTATTTGCCCAGGCTGGCTTCAAACTGTGATCCTGATCTCTGCCTCCTGAGTAGCTGGTCATGAGCCACTGGTGCCCAGCTTGTATCTAGCTTTTTAACTTAATATTCTATCTGCATTAGTGTTAAGTGTAGTCGCAGGTTAATCCTTCCACAGCTGTGTAATATTCCATTATGTAAATAGCCCATAATTTATTTCTCTTTTCTACATTTTGGTTATTATGAATAATGCTATAATGTATATTCTTATTTGTATCTTTTGGTGGACATATGTACACCTGTTTCTTTTTGGAACTATAGACTACCCATCATTGGGAAACTGAGTGGATCTCCTTTTTATAAATACCAAAAGGCAGCCTACTTCTTATTTCTTCTCCCTGCAACAGACACACCCACTAAGTGAGCAGAGCACACCTCTCTTGCAGGAAGAACAATAAAACAAGGTTTTGAAACACCCTACCCTGAGCCATCCTTAGAGATGGCAAGTGGTGGGCATGTTCCTGCTTTTGTTACAGAGCAGATTGTGCTAGGTGTTGAAGGCCTTTTCGTTCTTTCGGTAAAATAGTTCAGATTCTCCAAGACTTTCCTTGGTGCTTTCCCCCTAAATATCACAGTAATCAGACCATGAAGTAACCCATTTCCCAAACATGCTCAACCAGCTTTTACTTTTGTAAGATAAAACATCCTTTTCACTGCCCCCAAATATGCAGGCATTTCAATAGGAAAATGCCTGCAGGCCCCAGGGCCTGAAAGAAGGCCTACCTACCCATGTTCAGATACTCCCTCCTCTCCAAGATGCCCAAGTTTCTTGTTTAACCATTTAGACCACATGCCGCAATAAATTATTAAAAGATTTATAGTTCATAAATCACTCTTGCAGACAATACTTCATTTGCGTATCTTAGCAAATCTCTGAGGTGGGCATGGAAGTGGTAGAGGACACAGAGTGTGTGAAAATGTTCTGTTCTGTTATTGTTTGATGCCTGGAAATTTCTAAGCTGCTTCTATCTCCCTTCTCACAGTGCTCCTCTTCCTCCCCATCCCATCTGACCTCTTTGGCACCAGGTGAGCAGGCAGTAGAATGCAATACTAAGGTTTCTGGTGCTTGGAGCACCCTCAGATCCCCCTGGTAGTTTTATTTTTTAGCTAAAGTACTTAATTTTTTTGATGGGGTTATAGTAGAAGGTGTTAGACCAGGCAGGAGCTTGGCATATGACATCACTGGCAGACTCAAGCCTCTGGCTCTTTCTCTGTCTTACAGACCAGAGGTTAGATTACAAAACCATGCTGAGCTGAGGGTTGCCCACACCCCCTCCATCCCCACGCAGAAGTGAGGGTTACTCCCACAGGACTTCCTTGTGCGGCCATGTGTTTGAGGCCTGCAAAAATGCCAGGCATGCATGTCGCTTGGTCTTCAGGTGTGTGGACTTTTGCCCCGTATCCAATTCAGGTGATTCAAGTCACATGAACTTGGATAGGATGGTTCTCGTACAAAGCCTCCTGTTATCCTTTGATGCATGATGCATGTGTGTTCTGTCATGTGACTAGCCTACACATTTTTTTTATTGTTGTGCTGGGTGGAGGTACATTGTGGCATTTATAAAAGTTCTTACAATGTATCCAATATATCATACTT